ATCAAAAAAAAAGTGTGGTTTTTGCACTTTTTCGGACCCTGTCATTAAAATAAATTTAAATTCACATTTTTCCCCTAAATTACTTGACTTGGTAATTAACCACCAGAGAGCGCATTTCGAAAATATACCTATCAAAAAATAATTGTGAATAATTTTTCAAAATTTTGTAAGTGAGTAAATTAACCTCCTGAAAACCGGCTTTTAATCGTGATTTTTGCGTTTCAGGCTGGTGGTTGGATTAAGTGTAGCTATTGGAATGATTTGCTTTGAGCTGTTCATTTTTCTAATTGGTTTAACCATGTTTCATGCTACATCAGCCTTGTTATGTATCCTTCACAAATCATCTGATTAACTTTTCAATTACTAGTTATCAGTTCCATTAACTGATTATTATTTTTTTTTTTCATTTAATTAAATCAGTGATGTAAGGGGGTCACTCCAAGGTGACCAATGCTTGTGTCGTGCAGTTTATTCATATTTGCCTTAACACACCGTCTCTAGCTATAGGTTGCCATGCTAGTGCTTGCTTTCTCCTCAGTTATATCGTCTTGGATGGTTGGCAGTGTGGTTGGTTTTGGTGGATTTTCACTTTTGGGTCAGTCATACCAATCCTCAACGACTCCTGTATCCTCGTTGATATCCTAATCAATAAAAAATACTAATCTAGTCGTAGGTTTTAAGTCAAAACGCACAAATTTGTGATTGTAATTTATTTAATTGTGTCGAATTTTAACCATGTGCATCCGTCCAGTTGACATATTTTTCATAAATTCATTAATAAAGTTTTGAAATTCAAAATTGTCTTTTTAATTATTCGAAATTGGCCCAGTTTTCTATTGATGAAAGCAAATAATAAAAAAAGAGTAAAAAACGAAAGTAAAAATAAGTAAAAGAAAATAAAAAAGCAAAAGAAAAGAGAAATAAAAAAACAGAGATGAGTGTAATTGACAACATTTTTGGGGTATTTTGGGATCTTCTTTTTTTAGGTGATAAAGTTTGTAAAAAAGGAAATAAAAAGAACGATAACAACAAAACTAAAAGTGCAGTTTGTATGTACATTTTAAAAACACACAAAAATTTAAATAATTAGAAAAAATTTTAACATTTTTGGGCATTTTGAAATGCTAAGAAAATGGAAAATTATAATGTATTTAAAATGGTTAAGTATATTGAAAAAGTAAGAAAGTAAAAAAAGAGAAAAAAGTACAAAAAAACGCAGAATTAAATAAGAAAGTAAAACAAGAAGAAATAAATACGAAAAAGTAAAAACCAGACAAAACTTGAAATGAATAGAAAAAATTGGAACATTTTTGGCTATCTTGAAATGCCATAAAGTGAAATAAAATAGAAAAAAAGTACAAAAAGACATAGAATTAATTAAAAAACAAAGAGTAGAAATAAACAGAAAAAAAGTAAGATTTTTAATCAACAAAAAATACTAATCTAGTCTAGATTTTAAGTCGAAACGCATAAATTTATTATTGTAATTTATTTAATTGTCCAATTGACATATTATTCATAAATTCATTAATAAAGTTTAGAAATCGAAAATTGTGTTTTTAATCATTCGAAAATTGGCACACTTTTCTATTGATGAAGCAAATAAAAAAGTTAAAGAAAACAAATAATAAAAAGAGAGTTAAAAAAGGAACAAAGAACGGAAGTGAGTAGAGCAAAAATTAGTAAAAGAAAATAAAAAACAAAAGAAAAGAGAAATAAAAAAACAGAAATAGGTGATGAAGTTTGTAAAAAAGTAAATAAAAAGAACGAAAACAACAAAACTAAAAGTGCAGTTTGTACACTTTAAAAACACACACAAAAATTTAAATAATTAGAAAAAATTTAAAACATTTTTGGGCATTTTGAAATGCTAAGAAAGTGGCAAATGATAATGTATTCAAAACGTTTATATTGAAAAAGTAAGAAAGTATAAAAAGAGAAAAAAGTACAAAAAACGCAGAATTAAATAAAAAGTAAAACAACAAATAAATACGAAAAAGTACAAACCAGACCAAAACTGCAATAAATAGAAAAAATTGGAACATTTTTGGCTATCTTGAAATGCTATAAAGTGAAATAAAGTAGAAAAAAAAGTATAAAAAGACACAAAATTAATTAAAAACAAAGAATAGAAATAAATTGAAAAAATGTAAGATATTTAATCAATAAAAAATACTAATCTAGTCTAGATTTTAAGTCGAAACGCACAAATTTGTGATTGTAATTTATTTAATTGTGTCGAATTTTAACCATGTATTAAGTGCATCCATCCAATTGACATATTTTTCATAAATTCATTAATAAAGTTTAGAAATTCAAAATTGTGTTTTTAATTATTCGAAATACTTACAACAAATAATAAAAAAAAGAGTAAAAAACGAAAGTGAATAAAGTAAAAATAAGTAAAAGAAAATAAAAAAGCAAAAGAAAAGAGAAATAAAAAACAGAAATAATTGTAATTGACAACATTTTTGGGGTATTTTGGGATCTTCTTTTTTATGTGATAAAATAAAAAAGTAAATAAAAGCAACGAAAACAACAAAACTAAAAATGCAGTTTGTACACTTTAAAAACACACAAAAATTTAAATAATTAGAAAAAATTGAAACATTTTTGGGCATTTTGAAATGCTAAGAAAGTGGCAAATGATAATGTATTCAAAATGTTTATATTGAAAAAGTAAGAAAGTAAAAAAAGAGAAAAAAGTACAAAAAAAACGCAGAATTAAATAAGAAAGTAAAACAACAACAAATAAATACAAAAAAAACGCAGAATTAAATAAGAAAGTAAAACAACAACAAATAAATACAAAAAAAACGCAGAATTAAAAAAGAAAGTAAAACAACAACAAATAAATACGAAAAAGTACAAATCAGACAAAAATTGAAGTAAATAGAAACAATTGGAACATTTTTGGCTATCTTGGAACTCTATAAAGTGAAATAAAGTGGAAAAAAAGTACAAAAAGACACAGAATTAATTTAAAAAGTTTAAAACAAAAACAAAGAAACAAAGAATAGAAATAAATAAAAAAAAGGAAGATAATTAATCAATAAAAAATACTAATCTAGTTGTAGATTTTAAGTCAAAACGTACAAATTTGTAATTGTAATTGATTTAATTGTGTCGAATTTCAACCATGTATTAAGTGCATACGTCCAATTGCCATATTTTTCATAAATTCATTAATGAAGTTTAGAAATTCAAAATTGTGTTTTTAATTATTCCCATTTTCTTTTGATGAAGCAAGTAAAAAAGCTAAAGAAAACAAATAATACAAAAAGAGTAAAAAAAAGGAACAAAAAACGGAAGTGAGTAAAATACAAATAAGTAAAATAAAATAAAAAAGCAAAAGAAAAGAGAAATAAAAAACAGAAATAAGTGTGACTGACATTAAAAAAAATGTTTGCAGTGAAAATCTTCTTTTTTAGGTGATAAAGTTTGTAAAAAAGTAAATAAAAAGAACGAAAACAACAAAATTAAAGTGCAGTTTGTACACTTTAATAAAAACAACAACAACTTTTTAGTTAATGATGTAAAAAAAGGAAAAAACGACAATGAACAATATTTTTTTGATTTTTTCGAAACTTCGTAAAAGGCGTTTTAAATGTTTAAAATCTTTGAGAAAGAAGTACAAAAAAAAACAAAAAGAAAGTATAACAACAACAAAAAAATACGAAAAAGTAAAGAACCAGAGAAAAATTGGGACATTTTTGGCATTTTGAAATGCTTTAAACTGGAATAAAGTAGGAAAAAAAGAAAGACATTACAAAAAAACACGGAATTAAGTAAAAAAGCATAAAGCAAGAGCAAAAAATAGAAATAAATAGAAAGAACGAAACATTTTTGTTTATTTTAAAATGCTATAAAATGGAATATGATAATATTAAAAAAGTAAGAAAGTTAAAAAGAGAAATAATGGTAAACATTTTGTAATTTGGAAGACAAAAAATGGACCTTATTTTATTGAGATTTGAAAAGTGTTCACAGTTGAACATTAAAAAAAAGAATAATTTTTGGATATATATAAAAGCTGTTATAAAATGGAATATGATAAAATATGCAAAATAGCTATATTAAATAATAATAAAGGAAAAAAAAGAGAGCAAAAAACATAACATCAGAAATAAATGATAAGCATTTTGTATTTTGAAATTTGGAGGACAAAAAATGGGTTTTATTAATGTTCAAAAAGCGTTTTTTAAAAATTTTTTGTAAAAAAATTAAATACAAAATAGGTGAGAGATTTGTTTTTCAAAATTAGACTAAAAAGTATAGTAATTTTAATAAAAAAAGCTGAAAAATGAACCACAAATACTTCTAATTTAGCCTTAAATTAGATTGAAACGCACTTTTTTAAAATTGCCTTAATTTTAATTTAATTTTAAGTAAGTATTGCGCACATCCTTCCAAACCTTGACCTATTTTACACAATTTTAATTAAATTTTAATCGAAATTTGTATTTTAATTAAATTTTGATAATATTTAATTGAAAATTGCATCAGTTCGACTTAGTCGAAGACATGTCACTGAATGAAAAGGTACAAATACCACAATGGTCTTCAATGGTCGCAAAAACTTTCTCTACTTCCAGGAAATCTCCCAAACTCGCCCATCCTGGACCCGGGTTCTGGTCCTAGCTGGGGTGGCCACCACCCTTGGTTCCTCCCTCCCCGTAGGCTACAACATTGGCGTGGTCAACTCACCCGCAGGGGTAAGTACCATGGTGGTACCACCAACCATTTCAATTTTTTTTCAAGGTCATTAAATTATTCTGCAACCAAAGTGTTCAAACCCATTATGGTGTGACCCTCCACGAGGGCGGCCTCGACTTCCTATGGTCCACCATCGTGTCCATATTCCTCGTGGGTGGTACCATTGGGTCCCTCACTGGGTCGTTTTTCGCCGATAGGGCCGGTCGCAAGGGTGCCTTAATCGTGAGTTCCCTTATGGGAACCATCGCCGGCGTTTGTTTTTTCGCATCGAAAAGCGCAAATTCCTTCGAGTTGTTGATCTTTGGGAGACTCCTCGTGGGAGTGTCCTCAGGTACCATGACCATGATGGGCGAAACCAGCGACTGATGGGTGTTTCAGGGTTGATTACGAGTGTCATGCCCATGTACTTGACGGAGCTGGCGCCGAATTTGTTGAGGGGGTCCATGGGGGTGTTGTGCCCCCTTGGAGTCACTTGTGGGGTTCTTGTGGGGCAAGTTTTGTCCCTGGAGGGGATTTTAGGGAATGAGGATTATTGGCCACATTTATTGGGATTTTATTTGCTACCTCTTGTTTCGTGTAGTGTGATTTTAGTGTTTTTGCCTGAAAGTCCAAAGTACCTTTTCATAATTAAGAAGCAACCACTTCTGGCGCTGAAACGTAAGTTGGAGGGGGGATTTCAGTGGCGTTTCAAGAGGTTTCACATCAAAAATAAGTCATTTTTTCAAGAGTTTTTTCATAATTTTTTATCTGAAAAAATGGTACTTTGTTTGGTTTTGGAATAGTTTTATATTTTGCAATAATTGGAAAAGAACTAAATTTTGTACACGTTTTACATCAAGAATAGGATTTTTCAATTTTTATCTGGAAAAAATTGGTACTACTCAAGTTTAGATTTGGAACAGTTTTATATTTTGCAAGAATAAGAAAAAAAAATGAAATTTAGAGTTTTACATCAAAAATAGGTTTTTTAAAAGTTTATTCAGATTTTTTTACCTGAAAAAAAATAGTACTTTCTAGGTTTTCCACGTTTCATGGACAGTAATTTTTTGATTAAAATTTGAAACAATTTTCGATTTTGCAAAAGTAAGAAAAAATTTTCCAAAAGTTTCACGTATTTTCAACAGTTGTTTTATAATTTTTTATCTGAAAAAAATGGTACTTTCCATGTTTAGTGATTTTTTGATTAAGATTTGGAACAGTTTTATATTTTACAAGAATTGTAAAAAAGCTATTTCAAGAGTTATTTTATAATTTTTTATTTAAAAAAAGTGGTATTTTTTACGTTGTGTGATTTGGAACTGTTTCATATTTTGTAAAAATAAGGAAAAAAAACTCAATTTTCTTAGAGAGAGAAATATGAGTAGATTCTTTTCAGTATCAGTTGTTTCATAATGTTTTATCTGAAAAAGGGTATATTTAGTGATTTTTTGATTAGATTTGAAACAGTTTTATATTTTGCAAAAATAAAAACAAGAATCAAATAGGTTTTATTAAGTTATTTCATTATTTCACTGGTAGTTTCTACATTTAGTGATTTTTTTAATTAAGATTAATAACAGTTTTATATTTTGCAAGAATAAGAAAATACTGAATTTTCTAGAGATTTCAAATCAAAAATAGGTTATTTTTTCAATAGTTATTTCATAATTTTTTATCTGAAAAAAATGATACTCCCCACTTTTAGTGCAAGAATTGAAAAACACTGATTTTTTTACAGGTTTTACCAAAAATAGCTTTTTCCAACAGTTATTTCACAATTTTTTATCTGAAAAAAAAAAAGATGGCAGCTACTTTTTACGTTTAGCGATTTTTTATTAAGATTTGGAACAGTTTAAATTTTGGAAGAACAACAAAAAATTGAATTTTCTAGAGGTTTCACATCAAATTAGGTTTTTTCAAGAGTTATTTAAGTTTTTATCTGAAAAAATGGTACTTTCCACGTTTATGATTTTTTTGATGAATACTTGATATATGTTTCAAAAATAAGAAAAAAACTCAATTTTCTAGAGGTTTTACACCAAAAATAGGTATTTTTGATTAGGATTTGGAACAGTTTGAAATTTGGAAAAAAATTGGTTTCACATCACATATAAATAGGTTTTTTCAACAGTTATTTTATACGAAAATTGGTACTTTCCATGTTTAGTGATTCTTGATTAAGATTTCTAACAGTTTAATATTTGAATAAGAATAAAAACAAGAAAAAAAAATTTTTTTAGAGGTTTCAAATCAAATATGGGTAGGT